TACTCTATAAATATATATATATATATATATATATATATATAATCAAAATTAAATTAAATTTTAATAAGAAATTGTATCAACAGAATATATTATGTTATATCTAAGTTTTGTTTTATTTAAAAGCGTGTTTGGTTAGATTCTAAAACTTTCAAATATATTTTTTAAGATTAAAATAATTTAAACAAAACATAATTAAAAATGAAAATCATTAGTAAGAAGTAATTTATCTCATTCTCATGAAATGGCCCAGTTAAATAAGTAAGAAATAATTTTGCACTTCCGTTTTGTTCTTTCATTTTCTTTTCCTAAAGGTTAACCATTTGTGTTTGGAAATACAATGTGAGTATAAAAAATTATTCAACGAAAGTAATTTGAAGTAACTTTATATAAACTTTGGATGTGGAGAGAAATTAAGTTGCAATGCACGTTCTAAATAAACTTGTTCCAAAGAATCCAAACACAGCATAAAATAAACTTAATGGGTAGAAGAATTGTATTTTAAATAATGTTGTACATCCATGAGCGGCTGTAATTAGAAACAGTATAAATAGGTTTTATTTATATAGTGGACTTTATATTATGAATCTAATATCATGTTTTATATAGGGAGAGAAGAAAGAAAGAGAATATTGTAAAGTGTTGGAAAGGAGAGGGAAGCCGACGCGGTCCAACCATAATCGTGAATTCTGGTCAATCCAAGAGTGGTGCTTTTGACGTACGCAAGCGGACACATTCTGTTAGTGTGCACGTACATGCATAAATGGGATACGCACAGAGCGTAACACGCGTTCCACTGGGCCTCATTTTTTTTTTTTCTTTCTTTAAGATAGAAAAAATAAAAAAACATAGTCGAGGATTGAACTTAGATCTTCCTATTTTTAACTATCCCAACCCTAATGGTCTGGCCTCATTTCACTGATCCTAACTTTAATATATATTTTATTTTCTAATTTAAGTAAACTATCAAAATTTAATATATAATATATTTCTTTTATTTCATATTATATTATAATTTGTTTCAAGATATTTGTTCTTTCAAAATTTAAGAAAACTAATTATTTTTTGCGATGACATAATTATTTATAGATATGAAACCCAAATATTTTAACCAATTCATTATTATATTTTAATAATAATATTTTAAAAAAATGTTTTAAGCTCAAATATGTAATTAGTCTTTAAATTTAGGATAAGTGTATTTTTTTTCTTAAATTTAAAATTAATCTTTTATTTTTTTGTATTATTAAAAATGCATGATTTAGTTCTTTAGGATCACTTATAGTGTTATTAATAGGGAGAATTGACTATTGCATCATCAATTATATTATCTATACCTATTAATAAAAGGAATTGGAGTATGTAACCATTTTTGGTCTTCACTTTTTATCTAAACCTATTAATAAAGAGAATTGGAGTATATAACTACTTTTGGTCTCCACTTTTTAGTAAATCATTATACCCCTCAAATATAATTTTTTTATATATATCTCATCTAAATAACTATCCATAATCTTTTAATTTTATGTTTATGTGTAATTATTAGAGACACGAAATGTCTCAATCCCTCTAATTTCACCAATAATAACAATAACTAATAGTTTTACATAACAAATCTATTAGTAAGTAAATTTATATGAGAGATTGTTAATGATATTTGGACAAATTAAAACAATCCTTTTGACTTAAAAAAATAATTTTAGATTTAAGCAACCTTATTCTGAATTAGAAAACTTTTAAAAATATATATTTAACTTATTATTTATTATAATAATTATATGATTGTTTGGAAAAGAATATGCGTAATTTTTAAAAATAAGTAGTATATGATGAAGAAAATATATTATGAAGAAGAAAGACATCATTTGGCAATTGATAAGCGGTGCCCATTAATGCCATGACCAACCAAGGAGAAAGATGACAGCTGTGCTTTTTCATTCTTTATTTGGATAATTATCATCCTTGCCGGAAAAAGGTATCTTTACATTTTACAATAATCACATGATTATATGGGGCAATGCTCGTTTAATCTGTGTTCTTTCTTTTTGCATTGAACTTACATTGAGATAATAATCATAAATGATAAATGTGCTTCAATCATCACTACCAGTAATCTCAACAGAAGCTTTTGGTAAATCAATCTAGACCTGGTAGAAAAGCACTTAACTTAAGTGATAATGAGTAAAATATCCGCAGGAAGCAAATTCCACAGTAAAACCAATACCCTTCCAACATTTAAATTTGATCTATTGGATGGAAATGGAATATTGAATATTTTCTTTCAGACAGGGTACCTTTGTATTTTGGTTTTCTATTATGTTGTTCTGTTTGCTGTCTAACAACCTTACATATATATGCCCACAACTGATTTTCCCCTTATGTGTGATGTCTATTTAAAGCCATGTATGCACCGCTTTAGATAAAATTAGTACATATAAATTATAAACAATAAAAAGAAAACTTAAAACTAGAACATGAAAATATGGTATGAAAAAATCATGTATTCATGGCTCTTGCTTAGTGTTTTGGGCTAAGAGGAGGGCTCCACTCTCTGAATTTGAAACCTAACAGACACGAAAGTGACTTGCACAATATAGTGTCTCCAATTGGAGTGACATAGTGAACCTCCTCAATTAGAATTCCCGGGTCCAAATTAAATCCACATGCAATCAAATCAAGAGAAATGGCACCATTAATATGCTTTCTCAAAACAATTGATTACAATCGAATGCTTGTTAAGTGTTAACCTAACCATGTGTTTTTCTTTTTCATTCTTTATTCACATTCGCGCTACCGCTATAACAGTAACACTACCAGCAATACCTTCTATTTCTAAAGATCTTTTGCACTGCATTCAACATCTTAGCATTCTAAGGCTTCGTTTGCTAACATGGAAATAGAGAAGAAATGAAAAGGAGAGGCCCTAAGTTGAGTTGTTTTGAGGTTAAGAAATTAGACGCGAGAAATAAAAAGGTGAAGTGTGAGTTTCACCACTTTTTTTATTTTCACTTTAAATGTGTAAAAATAATGAAGAAATTAATATTGTTGCATAAAATTTAATCGATTAAATATTTAATCAATCGTTTAAAGATGTTTTACAAAACTATTTTTACAATTGTTGTTGTTCAAACGGCAACTTTTAATCTATAAGTATTTTATGCAATCCATTAAATTCTTTTATACAACTTTAAGATGTTGTCCTTAGATTAAAGTTATTGTTCATAAAAAATATATATGTATTTTTTACTTATATATAAAATAATAAAAAATTCTACTTTTTTATTCTTTTTTACTGATTTTTCACTTCTCTAATTTTTTATACTAATTCTCACTTATTTAGTTCTATTCTACCAAACATATAATATTATTTCTTTTAAATCAAATAATCAAAAACAATTATCTATCTTCATCCACCTATTTTTCTCTATTCTAGTGACTAGAGAAATCATGTCTTTAAATCATCATAATATGGATTATATAATTAATGAAGAGGATAAATAAGGTTAAAATGTTTACATGTCATTAAAAAATATATTATTTAATTGATAATCAGAAATAAAAATCTATTATATCTAAATTTATTATGATCATTATAAATAATAAAGTAAATCAAGATAAAATTACTGTTTATTTATTGTTCACCTGTATTTTTGTGTCAAATTTTGACTTGAATGTCAAAATATCGGTACCTTACTTCTCAAAATTATCAACCAATTTGGAGTTTAAACATTTTATGTCAGAAATTTATCAATGTATCCCACCTAGGTCCTGTTGGTATTGTGAATTTGATTGGAAGATGAAAGTAAATTTGTTGCCGCTTTGTTGATTTTCATTTTTTGGGGTTAGGGCCTGAGAGGGATTGGGAATAGGTTGTTTCTGCTTAATTTGCTCATTTGTAAAGACAATACTTTGTTCATTGCTTTTATCAATATATTGTTTTTATTCTCTTACATTTCACGGATTCTGTTCAACGGTTTTTGGTACTTGTTCAATGG